AATGGATTTCTGAGACAAAAATAATCCATTAAAATCCGTTACAGATGCAAAATTCAGACCACGAAATCGATTATAATGCCATTATAATCGATTATTTTTTTAAAAAATAATCATAATCCAATATTTTTGGCACAAAATCACCTATTTTGCCAAAATAATCCATTATGATTGATTATTTTCGAAATAAAAATCCATTATAATCCATTCTAATTGATTATAAACCATTTTTTTTAGAACTAAATTTGATTATTTTTGCACAATATTTGCAAATTTTGCAGGAAGTTTGCAAAATGTATGCCATGTGTTTTACTATATGCCATGTCTCAACTTCGTTCCCTCAAGTTTTTTTTCCTCCCCCCCCCCCCCCCAAATAAAGAGGGGGCGGTAAACTGAGGGGTGTCAATCATAAAACTTCTTTCAAAGTCTACCAATAAATAAACCCCCCCGTGTTCAATCATAAAGGGGGGAGCGAAAAGCGGTTGTGGTAAACTGGCTGGGAGGAAGGGGTGTGGTGGGTAAACGAGGACTAAGTACGTGTAAATGTAAACGAGGGGGGGGGGGGTAAACTTAAATGGTGGGGGAGTAAACTGGGGGGAGGGGAGAGGGCTAAAAGAATTGTTTGCTCAAGTATTGTCTGGTTGTCTGCTTGGTGACCGCTTAGTGAATTATGGTTTTTAATACCTCTTTTAAGACATGATATGTTGCTCAACATCCGTGTTTAAATTGAACCGCATCGAGCCAAACGCATAATAAATATTCGACGTTTTTAATTTTTTTTTTGCGAATAGCAATCGTTATCAAATCGGTCTGTAGTTTTTTTTCGGGTTAACAACTTGCTTAATAAAATCACTTGTATCTTGGCTCAAAATGTGTTCAAACTTCGAGGCGTATCCGGCACCTGGAGATGAAGAATACGCCTGGGACGGAAAAGGTCGTGGGTTCAAATTTGACGTGGAACTGTTTTTTTTCTAAACTGGAAACATTCTTTTCCAAAAAAATGTCAACCTCTTGTTTGAATTTCTCCTGCATTTTTGAATTTTACAAGCCTTGAACTGGTATATTTTGCTGTTTTTGTTTTCTTTCGCTTTATTTGGCTTAAATGATTTTGGTTTGTATTTTAGCGGCTTAGTGACCTAAATTGGGTCATCTCCAGCGAAGCGTTTTATTCTTTAATCCGGAACGCACAAAATGCTAAAATTCTTAGAGTAGAAATTATTTTTCATGAAACATTTTTTTTTCAGGTTTTGCGGAAAAATAGTTAAGCTTCGTCGGCTGAGTTGCCGCTAGTTATTTATTTTTGAGTTTCATGTATTGCTGTATATTGTGTTTCTGGACGTGTTTTCCTTATAAATTATTGCCGATTGTGTTTCTGGACGTGCTTTCCGCAAAGAAAACATGAAACCAGACAACATTTTGAATTTTTTCTAAGCATTATATTTTTTGGAGTCTTTTAATTTTTTTGAACTTAGGGACTTCCTTTTCATGTCTGCTAGCTTGTATTGCTATTTGGATGATGTATCGCAAGTACTTCTGCACAAGGTTATCGTTTTAATGGAACTCTCGAACCATATTTTCTTGGATAATATTCTCTTACAATGGAAAAATGTTTTCCAAAAAGTTGTCATTATAAACCATGATTGTTGCAAATAAAAACCATGAAATCAATTATATTGTCATTATATTCGATTATTTTCGTAAGAATACAATCCATCCAAATCCATTATAATATGGGACATTTATGGGTCGATTATTGTCACAAATGATAATGAAAACATTTTATTTTGGAGTAAGGCGAGTTATCTTGAAGTTATGTTTCATTGTAGAGTACCTAAACGAAATCATTTTGGTGGACGACCACAGCGATCATACTTACATCAAGGACACCCTTCCTTCCGCGGTCAAGTTCCTATTCCCTTCCATGGTCAAACTAACTCGGAACAGTCGACGCCTCGGGCTCATCAAAGCAAGAATGGCTGGCAGCGACAAGGCCACAGGGGATGTCTTGGTATTCTTCGATTCCCACGTCGAGGTGGGTCCCGGATGGCTGGAACCTCTTCTACACCGGATCAAGCAGGACTATAGGGTGATTGCAGCTCCAGCTCATGATACTATCGTGGACAAAGGCTTCGAGTTCTCAGGTAATCCAACCACTGATAGCCAAGGGACTTTTGGATGGGACCTACTGCAACGCTGGCGAGCCCTACCCGATCGTGAACGGAAACTATTAAAAACAAAAGCAGATCCTGTCAGGATGCCAACGATATCAGGTTGTCTTTTCTCTATCTCCAGACGATGGTGGGAAGAGTTGGGTAGATTCGATCCCGGGTACGAAGTTTGGGGCGCTGAAAATCTAGAACTTTCGTTCAAAACGTGGATGTGCGGTGGACGTCTCGAAATTATACCTTGCTCACATGTTTGTCATCTATTCCGTAGGGGTTCCCCGCATAAATCGCACATTGACAACTATTTATCGATAAACCAGAAACGCTTGGCCGATGTTTGGTTAGACGAATACAAAGAGATTGTTTACTTGCGACATCCTGAGCTAGTTAGTCTTGATGCTGGAGATATTTCGGAGAGAGTTGAGTTGCGTAAGAGACTCCAATGCCATCCGTTTAAATGGTATTTAGAAAATTTACTTCCTGATTTGTATGTGCCATCTGTTAAACTTCAAGCAGGTGGTGGCTTAAGGACACTTAGTGGTCCGTGCGTCGATACCATGCAAAAGGACTCCGGCATTGCTCAGTTGTACCCGATATGTCATTTTAAGAGTACCCAAAACTTCCATCTGACAGACGCAAACGAGATTCGAGGCACTGTTGAGGTCTGTTTGGAATCCGATCAAAAGCACAACCGAGTTCTGCTGTCTCAATGCAGCGGAAAAGAAAGTCAAACTTGGAGTCACGCAGGTCCAAACTCGACCATTCAAGCCAGTGCCATTCGGTCATCTAGCATGTGCATAACAATCAATGGAGAGAACCTCGAGCTAGCGGACTGCAACCCAGACGATGTCAAACAACGATTCTACTTTCAGTATTATATGAATCAGGGGCTGATCTAGGATTTTCTCGAGATGAATTAACACGGCCAAAAAATGTAGTCCTGCTTTGGTCGTAGTGTAATATGATGACTAAACGAGTTCTAAAATAACAATAACATTAAAAAAGGTTGTTTAATGATGCCATGTGAAAAATTAATAATTTATTTGTACAGACTGGTGCCTAATTTACCTTGCTGTTATTTCAGACTTCTACGTTGTTGTTATTAGGGCCAGTAAGTTATGTTTTATCGTGAAATTATGTTACTTCCCCAGTCGAGATGGCCGTTTAATGATCAGACGGTCGTGACCGACTTTTGGCATTTTCAGACTGTTGCGACCAAAATTGGGTATTTTCAGACCACCACGAACAAAATTCGAGTTTTTCAGACTTTGTAGTCCTAGGCAAAGTGTCCGCGATCGGCGCGATCAAAGAAAAGTTAACCTCGACCAGCGTGGCAACGAAAACTAAACCGCGGCCGATGCGACCCACGGAAATTTTACCTTAGAAAAGTGAACAGCGAATAAAGCAAAAGGTCCGGCTCCAATATGACATGACGTTCTGTTTTTAGTTAAAAAAGAGCATTTTCCTGAAATCGAAAGTCGTACCTGTTTTTGTCAGTCTGAAATTGAATTATTTATCAATTGCATCTGTTCAACAATATCTTTATCCTATGTTCGACGAAAGTTTTTTATTGAAAAGAAGGCCAACTTGACTCTCAAACGCCAAAACTTTAGATAGCGTAAAAACAGCGTCGAGTTCACTTTATTTTAAAATATGGGGGACGGTTTTTGTTCCGGCCGCTCATGAACTAGTGGGATTGTACGATGGCCTAGTTTGCTTTTTTTTGCGCAATTGAGGGTATAAACCATCGAGGTATCATATTCGAGCCCTTTCAATCTATAGCTTTGGATAATTTTTTTTGTTTTTTTAGCGCCCAAAAGCTTTTTCTTGTCCTAATTAATAACAGCTGATGACATTCCGGTTTATATGAAAAATTTTTGTCGTTGCAAGGAAAAAAATAGATTTCTGTATCTTTTTTTACGTTCGGGGGATTTAAATGAAAGGGGAATCAAATTAGTTATTCATTTTATAAAAGGAGACCATTTACATTGGGTATGCATAAACTTTCTCAGACATCATTGGTATTTTTTAAGACAAACCAGTTGAGCAAGCGCTACTGAAAAAAAAATTCTTATGAAAAATATTACAAATCACAGCCATGTGAGCCCAAGATGTTTAAAAACCTATTTTATAACTTTGAATGCTACAGATTGCCCCTGGTCGAGGCCCGCGACTAATGTTTTGACTTAGTCGGTCGCGGAAAAGTTAATTCCGTGACGAAAAACCCATAGTCTCGACAGGGTTGTAAGTCGCAGACAAACTCGAAATAGCGTGTCTCGGTCGCGAGCGCCAAAAAATTAGTCGCGGCGGACGAAAAAACAGTCGATGTGGCCGAAAAATTAGCAACTGCATGGTCAAAACAATGGTCTCAGTGGTCAAGGAAATAGTCGCGGCGTGGTAAAAATTTAATCACGGCATGGTCGAAATAATTAGTCGCAGCGGTTGAAAAGTTAATCGCTACATGGTCGAAAAATTAGTCGCGTCTGGTGAAAATTTAGTCTGGGCGGTCGAAAAACTACTCGCGGTGTAGCCCCAAAATAGTCGCAAAAAATTATAGAAATTTTATAAAACAAACAGAAACATTTAAATGACAAACATTCCAGCGATTACTTTAAAGCTAAAAGTAACTGCAATTTAATTAAAAGTTTATTAGATTTTTTGTTTGAAAAACTGTAAAATAGTTGCAAAAAGCAGTTCCAGTTTGTATGTGTTTTTAATGAGCAGTTAGCTAGGCAGGGTATTTGCTGATTAATAACAGGATCTAAATCAACTATAAGCAAAATTTGGGGCTAGCATACATGCAAAAATTTATAACTAAATACATACATACATACATACATACATACATACATACATACATACATACATACATACATACATACATACATACATACATACATACATACATACATACATACATACATACATGAATACATATACACAAACATACATACATACATACATACATACATACATACATACATACATACATACATACATACATACATACAAACATACATACATACATACATACCGCATAAATACGAGTCGAGTTTTGAATTTTACAAAATTTGAAATTTCGGTTCGAATTTTTTTTGTTTTGTCCCTATGACATAAGGACATAGGCGTATGTTATTCAAGCTATTGTAAAGTCCTTGAGCTCAAGTCTATTGTCTGAAGACCTGCCATGCGACCTTGTTGACCTCTAGTTTCTTTTCTGGAATTAGCTGAAACGAAAGTTAGGTTGATTTCTGGTTGTGAAGCATAAAACTGCATTGAAACCCAAGTATTGTACAAAATCCGTTTTGAAATCTAATTCATGGAGCAACCTGCTGACAAAATTGGGAGGGCATTTATTTTTGCATTGTTTTTGGGTTTTGATAATCCGCAGCTGCCATCATTTTGGGAAGATTTGATAACTATGTTCACCTGTTTGATGATAGCCAAGCCAGAGATCAATCCGGATGACTTCTAATATGTGGCCACATCCAATGCGTCAGCAATAGCGACATAATCGGGAATCGTTAAGGGAAGATTTGATAATTATGTTCTTCTATGTGATGATCGCCAAGCCAGAGATCGATCCGGATGACTTCTAACATGCGGCCACATCCAATGCGTCAGCAATAGCGACATTATCGGGAATCGTTAAGGGAGAGTTACACTCAAAAATAGTGAACAAGGTAATTTCCATAAGTGGAAGAAGCCGACATGATTATACCAATTTAAGAACCGCGTGTTGATTATACCAATTTAAGTGTTGTATGGCTTAACTACAATACCGCGGAATTCGACCAGATTTTTGATATTTTTGTAAAAGAACATCCTCAAGTACACGCGTATACAGATGATATCTCAATGGTGTCTGGAAGCCCTAAAACCGAACATGTAGCCCTGTTGAAACACTTTTAAAGAAACTTGATTTCACTAACGCCTCTTTTAATTTTAAAATTTTCAGAAATGCAAAATCCGTATCTGATAGCTGGGATTCAAATAAGTCAGTGATAACAACATTAGTAAGAAAAACAAAAGCTACCTGAAACCACCGATATCGAGAAAAAAAATTTTCTCCCCCGGGCGCATTACATTTTCCTTACAAATTCCTGTCAAATTCAGCGGAAATAAGTTCTGCTTTATGACAACTACTGAGCCTTATTGACGATAACATGTGGACAAGGCATGTGATACCAATTTTGAGCAGTTCAAGATACTAGCAGAAAAAATTGTTGAAATAAAGCATTTTGATTTATTCAGTTGAACAATAATCTTTCGCAATTCTGTTCATGCAGGGCTCGGTGCAATACCAGAACAAATAAATACGGACGACGAGCGGCAAACATTTGTTTTAGCCTGGAGAACTGTAATGCGGCAAAAAAAGTTATAGTACAACACAATTGATTTTGCTGGCCAATTTTTGGTCCCCTGAACGTTTTTGTAATTACAATTATTAAAGACTTTCACGAATGTATTGAATCAAATAGCTTTATTAACTATTTTAAATTCCTCTACCAAAAGAAAGAAAAACGTTGTTTTGTAGGTCAAGAAAACAATACTACCATATGAGTTTGTTCTAGAACACAGTCATGGATTTAAATGGGGTTTGACAGATTATCTTTCTAGATTCCTTTCTTTTTCATCAAAAGTGGCCCCCTCGAGTACCTACGACTCAACCTTTACGGTTGACAAATGAAAATGATTAACAAAGAATTGCAAACATGGCAAAAAATAACCAGAAAAAAGCAAAATTTTAGGACAAAAAACGTCTCTATAATTTCAAACAAACCGACGGTTGAGGGCGACAAAACATACATTATTATCCTTTGAGGGTGTGGCGAATTATCTTTCTAGATTTTTTGTATTCATCAAAAGTGCCCTCCCACGAGTCGCTACGACTCAACATAGTAGTTTAAAAATTTGAATTGATTAACCAGGCATTGCAGCCATAGCAACAAAAATTCTGAAAAAGGAGAACTTCTGTAAAACTCCAAATAAACAGATGGTTCAGGGCAAGTAAACATGTAATTAAATTAAAACCAATCAGAAACAACTCTATCCTCTCATAAGATCAAATGAGCCAGTTGAGAATTGCAATTGGGCTCAAGTGTAATTGCACTCCATCTCGCAATTGTAATTTTGGCTGTTGTGCTTTTTCATCTTTGATTTTCAATTGCCGCGACAAAGTTGAACATGAAATTCTAAACTTGGTTCTGGAAAAAAATCTAAACTGAAAAGTTTTGATTTTATGACTGACTGGCACTAAAGAATAGGAGAGTAGGAGAATTGCCTCAGGATATTTTTTGAAGCTCAGTGATATTTCAGGCGTAATAATTCGTTCTAGCAGATTCCAGCTTTTTGTATCAATTTCAACAGTCAAAGCAGAACAAACTGTTTTGGTCGAAACAGTAAAAAGAGGATCTCATTTACTTGGCATTCTTAGTGGTTTCGACACAAAATCTAGAAGGCCTTTGGAAATGTTTTTTTTTCCTAATTTACCTTCAAGTGATCTTTCTGATTCAGTTTAACTAGAAAATTCATTTAATAGTTCTGATTGTATTTAGCAGTGGAAACAAAGTTTTGATCACTGATTCGAGCGTTTGATTTAACTTTTTGCTGGTTTTTTAGCTTAAATTTTTGATCAGGGCGTTCGCTAGAAGTATCACTCAAATCACATTGAATCACTCCTTATTAATCAACCGTTGATTGCTGCATGAGCTTCTAATTTATACTTTGTCGAGAAACATTCGAGTCCTGGGCGAAATCATTGCATTATTGCGTCTAGCGGCAACAAATTTAGCAATGACGAAGAAATCTTAGACCCTTTTCAGGACAGGCACACAAACGAAAGCTACCGAAACGTGCAGGGCAAAAAAAGCGAGCGGGGCGAACGAAAATTAGGATGCAGAAAACGCCTGGGGTGTCCGATGAGCAACCTAGGGAATCAGCGAGACGATCGATGCGTTGAGGGAAGGAAATGAGAACAAAACTGCTGATTAAGGATCCGGAGAAATGCGGGAACAG